GATCACTTCTAAATGCACTCAGGTTTGTGGTGTGAATGAAGCAGGCACTTCATGTTCTAAAATCTGTCTCGTGAATGTCTACCCAGCAGGCCACCCACATCAAGCAGTAAGGCTTTATGCCATCCATGATGAACAAAGTAACAGATCACTAGTACGTCCGGAGTTCTTCGAGTTGTTTAATGACTGCGGCCCTAGTTCCCCTTACTCGCTTAAGACGTGCAGGTACCAAAGAGACAATGGGTAGAAGAGCTACAGGTTATGTAGTGGCAGCTTTAGATGGTTCAGTCCACATCTCACTGCCTAGCCTAATTGAGTGCAAAAATATCCCAAATGACAGAGACGAGATCCCCACACCCAGTGCAGCTAGACACCACAGCCATCTAAAGTCAGTGGCTCACCTCATTCCTGCCTTGGACTCTAACGCCCCCATACTAATGCTTCTTGGACGGGATGTCATTAGAGCTCACAAAGTCCGCAAACAGATAAGTGGCCCTAACAACGCACCCTATGCTCAAAAATTGGACCTAGGATGGGTCATAGTAGGAAACGTGTGTTTAGGTGACGTCCACAGAACTCCTGCAGTAAGGACTCTGTTCACAAATGCAACTGAAAGGGGACGTCCCACAGCATTCGAGCCATGTCCTAATGTTTTCAACATAAAAGAGAAACATTGTGGGATACAAGTTTCACTCAACTTCAGCTCCCAGCTGGCAGACAGTGCTTGTGAACCTGATCATTTAGGATGTAATGTGTTCAAACAAACCAGAAATGACAACTACATCTCACCTTCCATCCAGGACAATGCCTTCTTAAAAATAATGGAGGAAGGACTAACAAAAGACACAGATAACAGTTGGACAGCTCCTTTACCATTTAAAAATCCACGCCGAAAGCTCCCTAACAACAGACCACAGGCCCTGAATCGCCTAATGTCTCTTCTTCGCACCTTTGAAAAGAAGAAAGAGATGAAGGAACATTTCATCACCTTCATGGACAAAATATTCCAAAACAAACATGCAGAGATCGCCCCTACACTAAAAGAGGATGAGGAATGTTGGTATCTGCCATTATTCGGTGTCTACCATCCCCGTAAACCCACGCAGATCAGGGTCGTCTTCGACAGCAGCGCCAAGTATGAAGGCGTATCCCTGAATGACGTTCTGTTAACAGGACCAGATTTTAATAACTCATTGCTTGGGGTCCTAAAACGCTTCAGAAAAGAAGCCGTTGCCTTCACAGCAGACATCGAACAGATGTTTTACTGTTTCAACGTGCGAGAGCAAGACAGGAACTACTTACGCTTCTTGTGGTTCCGTGACAACGACATTTCCAAAGAAGTTGTGGAGTACAGAATGACGGTCCACGTCTTTGGGAACAGCCCATCGCCAGCAGTAGCCATATATGGCCTGCACCAGTCTGTCCAACGCGTTGAACCGGACTGCGATGCAGATGTGAAGCAGTTTGTCATGCGTGACTTCTACGTTGATGACGGACTCAAATCTCTACCTACTGTTGAAAAAGCCATATCTCTACTCCAAAGAACCCGAGACGCACTTGCAAACTCAAACTTAAGACTGCATAAAATAGCAGCAAACAGGAAGGAAGTACTAGAGGCATTCCCGACTCAAGATTGGATTATTGTAACGGTCTTTTTACGTGTCTTAACAAATCAGCTCTGGATCGCCTTCAGTCTGTACAGAATGCAGCGGCAAGACTTTTAACTGGTACAAACAAGAGGTCACACATTACTCCAGTTCTGGCTTCTCTTCATTGGTTGCCTGTAAATTTTAGGGTTCATTTTAAAATTTTAGTTGTAACTTTTAGAGCTCTGCATGGTGAAGCTCCCCAGTATATCTCTGACCTGTTGAAACCTCATGCTTCATCCCGAGCACTTAGGTCTTCAGGTCAGAGGCTACTGGTGGTCCCACGTACTAGATTTAAAACACGTGGGGATCGAGCTTTTCAGGCACTGGCACCTAGGCTGTGGAACTCTCTGCCGTTGTCTTTACGCTGTCTAGACTCTACTGACTCCTTTAAAAAGCAGCTGAAGACATTTTTATACAAACGGGCTTTTAATTAATTTAATTAATTTTTACTTGTATGTCTGATCTTACTGTAAAGCACTTTGTGATTTTTATCTGTGAAATGTGCTATATAAATACATTTTACTTACTTACTTACTTACTAAGATCATGCCAAAAATCTAAAAAACCTGGACTTCGAAAGTGATTCGGTGCCCATGCAGCGTAGCCTAGGTCTCCTCTGGGACCTAAGTAAAGACCGCTTCACCTTTGAAGTATCTGATGAGTCAAAACCCTTTACCAGACGAGGTGTTCTATCAACAATAAACAGTCTCTATGATCCGCTGGGTTTTGTAGCACCAGTCACCATACAGGTGAAGTCGATTCTACGCGAACTTACAGCTGAAAATGGGGACTGGGATGCTCCAGTCCCTCCCGAAATGGAAGAGTCTTGGACACAGTGGAAAGACTCACTCAAAGACTTGCCTAACATGACCATTCCCAGAGCATACACAGACATTTCCCCTTCAACAGCCGTGAAAAAAGAGTTGTGTTTTTTCAGACGCATCTACCAAAGCCATAGCTGCAGTGGCCTACTTAAAAGTGGCAGATGCAGAAGGACACAGTCAATGGGTAAGGCTAAGCTAGCACCACGCCCAGATCAGACTATTCCAAGATTAGAGCTTAGTGCTGCCGTTTTAGCGGTTGAGCTCGCAGATCTTATCTCAGATGAACTTGACTGTAAACTAGATCACACTACTTTCTACACAGACAGTAAAGTAGTCCTAGGTTACATCTACAACGAGTCTAGAAGATTTTATGTCTATGTCAGTAATCGTGTGACTAGAATCCTCAGATCTTCTCAGCCATGCCAGTGGCACTATGTAGCTAGCAGTCAGAACCCTGCAGATCACGCCACTCGTTCTGTTCCTGCATTCCAGCTGCCGCTTAGTAACTGGCTCACCAGCCCTGACCTTTTACATCAGATTCAGAATTCTCCAAATGACTCCTATGACCTTGTAGAACCCAACATGGACGCAGATGTAAGACCTCAGGTAACCGCACTCAAAACAACAGCCTCAACTAAAGAACTGGGCTCAGACAGATTCACCAAGTTTTCTACCTGGAAATCCCTCACACGTGCTCTTTCTAGACTAATACATGTCATCCACAACTTCAAATCACCACCAGGCAAAGCCAATCACTGTAATGGCTGGCATTACTGTGAAACGGGACTTACTGTGTATGAGTTAAAGCAAGCTCAGAACCTTGTCATTCGAGCAGTACAGCAGGACGTGTATGCTGAAGAAATCAAGTGTGTGCAAAAACATGGAAAACTACCCAAAACCAGTCATCTCAAAACCTTAGACCCCTATCTGGACAAAGAAGGACTCCTTAGAGTAGGTGGTCGCATCAGAGACTCAAACATTAGCCAAGGTGAGAAAAACCCTCTCATAGTTCCTGGCCACCACCATGTTGCAGCGCTTCTCATAAAGCACTACCACGAGCAGACCGAGCATCAAGGTCGCCGTTTCACAGAAGGAGCCGTTCGCTCCGCAGGATGGTGGATAGTGGGCGGTAAAAGAAAAGTGAGCACAATCATCTATCATTGTGTTACCTGCAAAAGACTTCGTGCTCCTTTGAGCACACAGAAAATGTCAAACCTCCCTCCAGACCGTCTCACAATGGATCCCCCGTTCACGAATGTGGGCTTAGATGTGTTTGGTCCGTGGTTTGTGTCTTCACAACGTACAAGAGGAAGCGTCAACCAGAATAAAAGAGGTGGCTGCTATCATAAACTGTAGACCCCTCGTCTCGGTTTCATCAGACCCAAGTGACCCCTTTATCTTGACTCCAGCTGTTCTCCTGACTCAAAAGGTAGCACCCCTTCAGGCTCCAGCTGAAAAATTCACAGCATCAGACCTCTACAAACATCAGTGGCGCCAGGTTTAGCACCTGTCGAACATCTTCTGGGACAAATGGAGGAAAGAGTTTCTCCCTACCCTACAGCCACGCCGCAAATGGCAGTCTAGCCAGCCTAATGTGAGCTTAGGAAATGTTGTGGTACTCAAAGACAGTCGAGTGCCAAGAAATGAGTGGCCTCTTGGTCTCATAACTAAGGTGTTCCCAAGTAAAGATGGTAAAATACGTACCGTGGAAATTAAGGTAGTTAAATCAGATGGTACAAAGGTGTTGACCAGACCTATCTCAGAGATCGTACCCTTGGTGCCTTCTTAACGTGTTGTTTTCTTCAACGTTTAATCGTGGCGTTTATTCACGCCAGGCGGGGAGTGTTCTGTATCACTAAAATATTATTCCCAGTACGTTGTTAGTTATGTGTTTTTAGCGCCCTCTGTGGTCGTTTCAAGTAATGCACCGTAGAAATGGTTTGTTTTGAAACAACTTTATTGAACAGGAAGTCAGCTCAAGGAATGGAAGCGAGCGAAAGAAAGAGAGACATATCGGCACACGGCTTATGGTGTCCTGTCGGAAAATTTACTGTCTACATCTTTGGTTTACGGTTGTATCGCCGGTATGTACTTAGTTAAATTACAACTTGTTTTTGTACATTATGTTGCCGCTAGCGCAGTATTTGACCGTAAAGCTAATCTCGGTGCTAAGCTAGCTATCCGCGATGTCGGAGGTCGTCTGAGATGGCCTCAGTAGTTGTATAAAAGTTTATATAATTAGACGTATGCTGTGTATTAGTACTGCGGTGTATAAGTGTATGTTATGCTACGCTTATGTATGTCTTGACTGTATTTTTTGTCTTGTTTTTAGTTTTACCCTTTTGAATGTCAGTAAACCTGTTGACAACGCCCATCGGTCTTCAGAGTGGTGATATGAGAAAGGTGTTCACGCCCTTGCATCAGACATGCACCCGTAACGGCACAAATGCATTATGCTGAGGTGTTCATGGGCACTCAAACTGTGACGTGAAAAGATGATAAATAAATGACTGCATGACACAGCTGGGAAGAAGACGCTATGATTTTTTTATTGGTGAAGCTGGACAAAAGTATACAAAGGAATGGGAAAAAATCATAAAACAAATCAAAACATTTTCACCTCACCATCGTAACATCATACTGGTCTATATTCACTGACACTCAGTCACATAGGCAGTATAGGAGAATGGAATAGATGAAAAACACATTTTCATTATTTAAAAAACAATCGATAAGATGATTTGAGATTAGCTTGAAATCATTAATGATTTCCCTATTTCTACAATAGGGATTAGGCCTTTTCAACACATGATGACCTCAGTGAAAAGTTTGCTTAGCTGGTCTGTGGAGATGACTGGTGACTCTTTCTCCAGTGGGCCTGAAATTAGTGCAAGTCTTTGTGTTAGAACAACATATTATAGTCATCTCACTAAGTTTCTCCCTAAGTCAGGGGTGTCGAACTCCAGGCCTCGAGGGCCGGTGTCCTGCAGGTTTTAGATCTCACCCTGGGTCAACACACCTGAATCAAATGATTAGTTCATTACCAGGCATCTGGAGAACTTCGAGACATGTTGTGGAGGTAATTTAGCCATTTAAAACAGCTGTGTTGGATCAAGGACACATCTAAAACCTACAGGACTCTGGCCCTCAAGGCCAGGAGTTCGACACCTGTGCCCTAAGTTTTCTATTTGGCCACTAAGGGGCCACAGAAACAAGCTGTGATTTCTGGTCCTTGGGCTGCTACATGCTTCACTATGCTTGCAGGCTAGTAGCTGAATTAGCTTGTCTGCTGTGTGTTTTGGGAAGCCAGCATACTTTGGATTTATAGGAATCTTTCAAGGCTGCAAAACGATGCAGAAATACTACGCAGAGCTGAAAGATCCAAATTTGGTAATAATACTCTATGACCTCATCAGGACAAGAAACAGCTGGTTAGAGCAGGTTCATCATGTCACAGTAGTCTGTCAACATAAATGATCAAACCCACAACTATCAGTATATTTAGCTGTTGTTCAATCCTGGTTGGTGATCAGATGTGCACGCCATCATTTGATATAACACCAGTAAACAAAGAAAGTCTAAAATGTAGCCTTGAAATTTGATCTGAACAGTGAGTGAAATTATCCCAGGATGTTCTCCACATGTGAAGGTGGTTAGAGTGTGGCGTTTCCTACCTTCTTCTAATTGTCGTCTTCCTCTGAAGTTGGGATGAAGGACGCAGGTCCTGAAGGTAGTGCTGGCTTGCGGAGGAAAGGATATGTGAGTTTTTCCCTCACACAGTGCTGGTAGGTTCGGTCACAGTCAAATCCAATTGGACAGCAGTGGTAGCCATCCAGACAACATTTGCCCTGCAAGAAACACTTTTAGTCTCTCAAAAGAATAATTATTATAGCTGCATACTTGTTTCATGGCAGTGGAAGCTAAAAGGAATTTTATTACAATCATGTGTCTTATTGCACAAGAATATTTAGGCTGACTCACAGGAGAGTAGGGACAACAGGTCCAGCCTCCTTGTGGGTGTCTGCAGCAAGTAGTGCCATCAGGACAGTAGGTGTAACTGTCACAGTGGACCATTGATTTCTTTATTTGATCTGGGACGTGGCTCTCTTTAAGCTCCTGGAGTGGAGTTCCAGGCAGTTCAGGGGTGTTTGGTTTCTCCGCAGCCTCCTTCTTCACCATGGGTATGGTCAGCCACGGCTGGTCTAATTTCTCACAATTCATGGTAACCAGGTTACAGCGATATCCTGAAGGGCAGCAGTGGAGCAGGTCGGCGCAGCACATGGCCTGCAAAGTAAGACCAGCAGAACTTTTAACAACCAACAATCAAGTTACTGCACTGGTGGAAAGTTTCTGACTTTTATGTGCATGAGGACAGCAGCCAAAGCTGATTTTAGCCTTGCAGCAGGTGGCATTGTTTGGGGAAGTACTCACATCAGGACATGCGATAGAGCATGAAGCAAATCCCCACAGAAACACACCGAATGACAAACACAGAGTGATCGTCAACATCTGGAAGACAGTAGCAAAATGACTGTAGATTTTGTCTCTTTGGAGTATCAAGGTCAGACTTTGTAACTTTAATGTAACACTAACACAAAAGCATAATTCACCGTAGAAGAAGTAAACTTTTTTGTAACCTTTACCTTTAGATAGTGAAGAAATTCAACAGCTTCCTGTGATGCCTTTCACTATTTCCCTTCTGTGGTATCAAACACTGCTCTTTATATTAGAGGTCAAACACTCCCACTGCACAAAAATGAAAGTTTCACTTCACGTGACACCCCTGTGTCCTGTGACTGAGACACTGAAGTACTTATTCAACTTATTTATGCAAGTAAAAGTGAAAAAGTATACACTTGTAAATGTACTTAAAGTATAAAAGTAAAAAATAAATAATAAGAAGAAGAGTTTATTTTTAGACTTTCAAAACACTCAAAGACACCTCGCACTCAATTAAAATTGCTTGTAAAATAATAACAAAATAAAAGTAAGAAGTAGCCCTTCTGCAAGTTATCTTGTTCTAACTGCACTCTCACTTACAATATTAATTGTTTCACGTGTTAAAAAATGTGCCCATATTAGCAAAGTGTAAGATGTTTCTCATCCGCTCTCTCCACACACACACACACACACACACACATATATATATAAACAAAATATAGTTTTTGTTAGCTACTTTTAGTTACTTCCAGTTCTAGCGAACTATACTAACCCTCGCTCACGACCACGATACAAAACATTGTAACTTGTGCTTCAGTTCTCCTTTCATGAGGCTTCTCTTTGTGTTATAAGTTGTTGCATTTCATTAAATCCTGATCCACAGTTTCTGTTCAGGTGCTCGCAAACTACTGCCAACACATAACTGAGTACACACAGACCTATAGAGAGAAACGTGCCTCGAAAGTGTTACGAGACTGGTGCGGTATTTATGCACAATTTTTCAAGTTCAGCTTCACGAATCAGATAGTTTACTCCTTGAAAAAACGTACAAATGTCTAAAACAGGTAAAATCACTCTCACTTCCTCACTTTTTTTGTTTGTTTGTTTTGCTTTCAAAAGTCAGTGCACATCTGCAGATAAGAGGGATCACCGTGGTTGTGCATCACTCTCAGTCGCCCTCTGGAGTGAGTGTATGCCAACTAATCTCTGTATATTTTAAATATAGATATAATCCATGTAATGTGGAATAAGACGTTGATGCTAATCTTACCATTCTCTGGTAATAGCAGGCTAACACTAATGTTAGCTAATGACTAATCCTGAATAATTCACTAAGTCGTAGCAGTTTATTTAAACCATATATTCCCTTACTGGATGTTATTTGTATCCCTACTGTGTAATGCCTTTAGTTGTTAAATCTATGTTTTCTGTTGGAGAGGTGTCTTATTCTGTTTTTTTAAGATAAACGAAATGCCTACTTTAAAAACATACATTAAAAGGAGGAGGAAGAGGAAGCTCAGATGTCCCGGTTTTACACTGGGACATGAAGGCAGCCTACGTTTGTGGATCTGTGCAAAGCTGGCAGTCTGAAATTCTCAAAACCAGATGTGGCGATCCGTGCGCACATATTTAAGGTTTTGTAAGGCAGCCAGATGAATGTGAGACATTTACATGTACAGAAAGTTTTTGGAAGAGAAAATCCTCAGATTTCTGAAGCTAAACTCTAATTGCTTTGTAAATGTGTGTGCACTGGATTTGGACCATCTATTTTTTTGTGCAATTTTATGCAAATCATTTGGTTGGATTTTCATGCCTGGCTTCAATCGAGTGGGATTCAAATTACCCCATTTACCTTAAATATGATATTGTTTGGTGTGTTTCTGAAGGAAAAGAAAGCCAATTATGGTGTTAATGTTTTATTAATCTTGTGTAAGCAATATATACACAAATGTCATTATTTTAAGAGCAAACCAACCCTACTTCATTTAACTTAACTAAGTTTAACTTATATTAAAACTGTGTCTACAGCCAAGCACTGTTTTAATGTCTTTATATTTTGATCCAAGCTCATAATAAAAATCTATGACTCTCTCACACAAAAAAAATGCACACAAATCACTGCACACTGGAAATCTTAGTTTACACTTTGTAAGACCTTTCTCTCCATATAGACCCAGTCTTTACTGGTTATTGCCACACTTCTTCCTTTTGACATGTGTTTGAGTGTTGGCTGTAAAATGGAGCCTGTCTTTGTTTCACTTCCCTTTTTTTTTTTTTTACCATAACTTTACCATTCCTCCTCCAACATTATTGTGTTACTGTCTTTCCTCATCTAACGGTGTTGCACCATCAGCTTCTTCTTGATTTCTCCATAATTCTAAATCTGCTGCCACCTGCAGAAACCCGGCTGTGGTGCCTGATTTGCAGCAAACTCAGCATGTCTGCTGCTATATCCAGTTGGTCAGATAGGAGACAAACAAAGTAAAAGAAAGAATAAAACACACAAAAATAAATACTTTTTTTTAAAAAAGCTTTCACCTTCCAGTCGTCCACTTCTTTATGTGGCAGTGTGACCTTGCAACCGGTCACACCAACACACCAACATTTTGCAGCATGAAAACTCACATTTCTATCATTTTTATTTGGAAATGTTCTCATGTTTTAAACTTTCAATACAAAAATTTGACTTGAAAACAGCAGAAAAGCCTTTGATTTTTCAGTTTATGAAAAGAATCCAGACATTAGACATTTTCAACATGACCGCAGTGGAAATAAATGGTTGCAGGAAATCTTGTGAAGCTAATTTGTGAAGTTAAATGGTGAGAAGAAAAAAAAACAGAAGTTAAATGGTGACTGTCCAGTGACGCAGAAGTATCAATTTAAACACAAAACAGCCAACAGATACTTAAAGTAATCTTACGTGGATATAACATCAATTACCCACTTGCTGTCTTCTTGTGAAGCTGATCGGCTTCTATCTCAGATGAGGCAGTGTGTCTAACAATTTTCAGCAAAATCTTGACAAATCTTGAAGTAAAATAGTTTAAAAATTTTTAAAAATTAAAAAAAGAAAAAATATATATATATATTCAACATTATTTGTGCAGCCCCGAGAAATCTCAAGAGTAAGAATTTCTGCATTTCAAGGAGGAGGCCTCGCAGGTGTATCCATACTCACAGCAGTGCACACCATCTGCACAACACTGGCCCTGAAATCAGTCAAAAGTGTTTGTGTTAGAACAAAACACCAACCTTATTCCAGCAAGAGGTGATGGCATTTCTGGGATTTATGTACAATCCTTACCAGTGGGTAGGGACAGCAGTTCCACTGGCCTGAGGATGCCTGGCAGCAAGACATCCCCCCCTGGCAGTAATGTAGGGAATCACAACGAATGACTTGAGCCTCAGGGGAGCCGACGTGTGTTAGAGCTGGTTCTGGTATCTGCAAAACGGGAAGGACAAGCCAACTATTAGCCTGTTCCTCTTATCCAAAAATGAGTCCATTCATCAATTCTCTTAAATGGGGGATAAAGTCTATCTGAGCTGTCACTCAATGTACACTTTGTATGTAGGGATGGGAATTGATACAAATTTATTATACATCGTAGCATATCAAAGACATTACATTTGCGAAAACTGACTGCATGCTGTGGGTCAAATGTTTGCAGGTGCTTGCAAAGTTGCTTCAGCAGCACGATGCAGTTGTTTCTGTCCTGTATGCACTTTGCACCTTACCATTGCAATCTTGTCCTTTTAAGCAATAAAAATCAAAGTAATATCCACGTCCAAGACTGTGCCACTGTTGTCCTCCTCTGACAAGAGGAACCGATAAACAGAGTGTGCAAGCAGACTAACAACTCCAAGGAACTGAACTTTTTCTGTGTGTATGTGAGCGTGTGTGTGATTTTATCTAAAAGTCCTTAAAAAAAACTGGTTTCTTTTTGTATTTAATTAATCAAGTTAAACCAGGATTTTTTTTTACTTTACTTGGCCATCTAAGGAGCAGCAGTATTTCTGAAACCCACGAGGAAAACTACACAGAGCTAAAGGATGCAAAGTTGCAAAAATCAGCAGCTGTCCAGGTATGCTCTCATCGTGGTGAGAAACAGCTGATGCACGTGCACTTCTTTTCTTGTCACATATAAAATGATTACAGCAGTCTTGCAGTATAAGTGAGCAAACCCACAGCTGTCATCACATTCATGTGACTGGTGAACTCATGTGATCCTGCGTTATTGCTTTATTTATTAACTCCTTGATTCTTTGTGTAACATCGCTTCTTTTCAACAAAGTGAGGAGTTAAAGCGACAGGCAGCCTTTAAATGTTGTAAGCGCAGTGTGTCCTACCTCGTTCATGCTCTCTTTGTCCTCTGACATAGGGATGACAAAGGCAGGTACTGAAGGCAGCGCTGGCTTATAGAGGAAAGGGTATGTGAGTTTCTGTGCAGCGTCCTTCTTCACCATGGGAATGCTCAGCCACGGCTGGTCCAGTTTCTCACACAGCTGTGTCACCAGGTTACAGCGATACCCTGACGGACAGCAGTGGGCCATGTCTGCGCAGCACACTGCCTGCAGAGTGAATAAGACTTATTTCCAATCTGACTTCCAAAACCAACAACAAGCAAAACAATAAATAAAAAAACAAAACAAAGCAACAACACTAATGGAAAGTTATATTTGTGTGAATATAGACTTACTTTTGGATACTGACAGCAGCCATATCCATACTCAGTCTTGCAGCAGGTAGAGATGTCTGAGCAAGTACTCCCATCAGGACACGTGATAGAGCAAGAAGCAAATCCCCACACAAACACCCCGACTGACAACCACAGAGTGAGCCTCGACATCTGGAGGGAAGAGCATCACAGTGACTTTTTCCTTTTCCCTTTAATTCTTTTCAACTGACATCAAGGTGATATTAAAAAGTAGATAAAGTGCATATTTCTTCGCAGCTTACAAGTCAGACTTTTTGATCATATGTACTCCTGTACCTACAGTTTCACGTTCGCTTCTTTGAAAACTTCTTGCTCTCAAATTAAACTTACAAAAGAGGATATTAAACCAATAAATTGCCCATAAAAGATTTTAAAATCAAATCTTTGAGTCACAAACCTTCAGATAGGGAAGAGATCCAACAGTTTCCTGTCATATATTTCGCACTTCCACTTCGCACTGAAACTTGCATGGCTTTTTATAGTGCAGGTAAGACCCGCCCACTGAGGAGCAGCTGAGAGCTTGACTTCACATCACAGCACTTCTGTCCTGTGACAGTCATATAGCAGTTTTTAAGGTTTCTGGAACTACTGTAGCTCACGCCCACAGATAAAGCTTCTATTTTTAAAGGGAAATGCATTGTTTACTGGGAAACTTAAAGATTAAACAAGGCTTTATGAGCACACATTAACCTTTCATACCTCGCACTGTTTTGATCACAAGACCTGCCTGTGAAGTCTCACTGAGACACAGTGCTGTCACTGTGATGAGTGGGTAAATGTTCTCAAACTTTTATTTGGCCTTTACGCTCACAGTTGGTGAAAGCTTTATTTTTTTTATTATTATTGAAATCACCTAAACTACGAAATGCCAGCACGTCTTTGCTCAAAGGAAACCAATACCCCCACCCCCACCCCCACATTAATTCTCAGTTCCCACTTTTATACGTTAGGGAAATTACTGCATGCCAATCCATGGCTAAACGTGTTCTACTCTGCATTTTTCTATCCAGGTATGCTTTTACTGCACTGGCAGCGCATTTGGGATCATTGTCATGATAAAAAATGAAGCTGTTGCCAACCAGATGATTTCCAGATGGTATTTGCATGGTGGTCCAAACTCTGAAAGAACTTTGTTTTCATAATGCCATCAATTTTGACAATATATCTCAGCCACTTGCTAAAATGGCCCCAACCGTGACAGAGCCTCCAGCGATCACTCTCCTGCATTTATAGATGGCAATTTGAAGCTAAATTTTCAAAGTTCATAAGACCTGTTGCCACTGATTTTCTGTCCTGTTCTTGTGTAACTTGACATTCCCCAGCCTTTTCTCCTTGTTTCCTTTACTTAGGAATGGCCTTTTAACAGCCACCGTCCCTCTGAGACCATTTCTGATGATCTACCTGCTGTTCACTGAAGCTGAAGGGCCCGATGCACCTCCTAGGTCTTTTCCCCCCCTTTCTTAAGGATATGACTTTCAGATGGTGTTCATCTCCTGTGGAACCACTTTGTTGGTATAAAAAAAAGAATTTTATTTCTGTCAGTGTTATCTTTGCCATTTTTCATAGACTGAAGCCTAGATACAATTTAAAACTGGTTCTTTGCCAAGTTGTGTGTAGACACAAATAGGTTCATCCCTCAGGTTGTAAGGTGCTGTTTTTATGCTTGAATCATTCACAGGTCAGAGTTAAGTGGCTTAACAAACAAAAAAAAATCCTCTAAAAATGTCAGGTAGAAGCACTGGGCTGAAAGTGAGTGAAAGCCTTTCAGAAAGCCTGCAGAACTGTTGCTTGAGACCACTTGAAAAAATACGAGTCTGGCTCCTTAGAGACAAAATATGGAAAAATGAAGCTCATAACACTTTCCACAATGGTGTCACACTTTCGGCTCCTGTGGTTTCATCGGTGAGGCATCTCATTCATTTCGAGGTATGACAGATTCAAACACAAAGTCAGACTCATGGTTCAGTAACAGGCATTTAAAGTCTTAGTGAGGCTTACATATTTGTGTTTCTTTTTCCGGTTTCAGAAACAGAATGGAGAACTGGGTCCAGCAACCTGGAGACCTGCAAACAACACTTTCTGGCCTCAGTGTTGTAACTACATAACAGCAGCAAAGGTTAAAACAATACTTTATTATTGAACTCCATTGTTTGTACAACTACACTGCAGTGTAACAACTCATCTAACAAAAACAATTATCCCTTGTATTACTGTATGACTGTGCAGCTCATTTCTTACAACAATGGCCAACTTCAATATGAAGCTGGCGAGACATCTGGTCATCACGTCTACATGCATCACGCAGGCACTAGCATCAACAGCCTCGTGTAGCAATGAAAGATGTCAGGTATGAAGCACAGAGGCTAACTCCTAGAGGGCTAGCGTTCTGAAGTGGGGAGTGCCAGGCACACTCAAATCTCCAGAAAGAGATGGGGGGGGGGGGGAGTTCAGTCCTGTCTTTGAGTGAACTTCAGACCAATAATGCAGAAAAATCATGGTGGTAAAACAAAACAAAAAAGATATGCACTATTTGTTTCCACTTAGAGGGACCAGCACTTTCTTCCCAATTTTCACTTCACACATAGAAGCCGAGCATTTAGGCCTGCTGCTTCCCCTGTATAGGTGGAAATCCCCAAAAATTGGATGCGAGTAGTTTTTGGTAGTCAAAGGCAAACATGACTCTACTTTTGAGCTGTCAGAAAAATGGAAGACGTGTTTTCAGTCGAGGTCCGAGTCCGACTGAGACGCCGTCTTCTTTTTCTTTTTTCTGCCATGTTTTTTGTGCTTCCTTTTCCTCTTCTTCTTGGATTTATCCTGGAAAAAAAAAAACTTCTGCATTTTAGCGACTGATTCGTCTTTTGAACGATGTACAAAGATCTACTGCTCCGCCCACAAAATCTTGTTTGCGGACTGTCTTGAAATAGGAAATGAAGTAAAATGTCTCACTGTGAATTTCTCCTTTTCCTCGCTGCTTCTCTTTTTTTTCTTGGCTTCAACCTGCAGGAGTAGAAAGTTGAAAGGTGACGAAGAATTTAAAAAAAGAAAGGAAAAACAATTCCCCTAATATTTCACAATAGTGGAAATTTTGCAACAGCTGTAACAGCTGTGTGGTCAATCCAGGATTAAAGATGTTGTCAAACATAAGTCTTCATGACTCCTTTATCTCTCTCTTCTGAATTATTAAATACAATACATGCAGTACAGATCACTGGTTAGTTAAAGATGGGCATGTGACCCAGTTTGAGATTATCATTTATTTATTTATTTTATTTATTGCATCTTGTGTTTTGTAATTTGAATATATTTATTTACTTATTTAAATTCTTAAGGCTGTTTTACTCCTATGTTCAGCAGTTGCTATTTTTAAAAGTGCTTTATAAATGAAGCTGGCTTGGCTAAGAACACCATTTAATCGGATAAAGAAACTTGACACAAAGATTGACTTCCCCCTACAGTAAAGAGACACGAGAGCTTGAACATCTGGTTGCATAAACATTTTAGGAAAAATGAAACCGATTTGACTTTTGTTCTGTATCGCTACTGTATCCAAGTACGAGGTTTAAAGAGGGACACCAGTGAACGGCCTCAATCTGACAGGGCTGAAATGTAAAAGGCTCCATTGAATAACATGAAAAATGGTTCAGTTTGACTGCTTGAATGATTAAAGTAACTAAGGCTTTGTCCAGATAACTATCAGAATGAAAAGGTAACAATTCAAGACATAAATCAAAGTGGTTCGTATTTCTATCCGATGTCTACATGTGCATCTCAGGGTGAATGCTTAAATAAGAAAATAACATCTAAATAAATAGTGCTCAAAAAGTCAGCAGACAGAAACAAACATGTGATTTATTCAAGTATTTTGGTTGGAGGCTTCTTTTATGTGCAAAACAGGAGGATCACTAATGAGTAACCGACCCCTTTGTGATTACAACAGAAGCCCTCTGAAAAACTCAGGTGACATCTGGACCAGAGCCACTACAGGTTTGTATTTGCCAATTAGCTTTTTATTTTTATAAGATTATTTCTGTTAGTTTCAATTTTTCCCCTAAGACATCTAGTTTTCTGATTTTATTTTACCAAAACATTTTTTCTGATCTAATTTTAAGTTCAGTTTTAATCAGCTATAAAAAGCCTTGGTCTGCACAAACAATCCGTTCGTGTGCAAACAGCAGTGAAGACAGACTGCCATAAATATCTGACCTGAGAATAAGATCGACTCAGCTCTGACCAAAAAAAAATTATCAGGGGAGCAATTACAGTGAGGAGCTATTACATTTAAAAGCCGAGAGGACCAAATAAGCAAAAGAGGAACAAAGGATGAACAAAGAGTAACGCTCAACTACTTCAAGTCTATTTGTTAAGTGAGGCGATGGATACATTAGCAATAAAAAAATAATGACTGCAGAAATGTGTGATAGAGACAGAAATAATACTTACTGCCTCATCATCATCAGAGTCAGCAGACGACTCTGATGATGAGCCTTTATAACTTCTCTCAGCCTTCCTCTTTCCTCTACGGCTCTTTTCATCCTGATGGACACAAGATTTATTTATTTAAGTTGTTTCGGGAGGAAAAAAGCCAGAGGAATGCATTTTAAATCAAGTGTCACCATCAAAATGACAGATAAGTGAATAACGGAATAAAAGTAAATTACCTTATCTCTGTCACCTTCTTCCTTTATTCTTTTCCTTTTCTTCTTGGAAAAAGAAAAAAAAGGACAAAAAATTACCACCACAGTCCATTTCTATAAAACTGCAATGAATCGACTACAACTACATGCAGCATTAGAAAGAAAAACCTTGCTTTCAGCATCTGACTCATCCTCTGAGCTGTCCGATGCTCTTCTGGATGACGACTTCTTTCTCTTCCGCTTCTTCTTTACAGTCTTCTTTTCATCCTGCACGTGCAAACAAAAACTGCAATCAGGGTTTTACTGTATGTGAAGTAAAGCAGGAATCCTTCTAAGATCCATTAAAGTCTTTATAAATCTGATCTCTCTATAATGTACAGTTTTTTTCTTGTTTTTTTTTTTTACTTTTGGGGGCTTTTTACCTTTCTATTAAGGTGAGAGAAGGCAGGGAAAAGACATACAGCATATGAAGTCAACAGCCTTGTGGCACACGGGTTGACTGCTCAAGCCAAAAAACTTGCATCGCGAGTTAGTTTTGATAGTAAACTGTCATCCAGCAGACTCCAGAAATGTCCCAACCCAAACCCGTTTAATGCTACATGCCGTGCAGCTGTATTGTGTTACACTAGATTAGGTTCAAATAAAGCACATGAGATTAGGGCTGCACAATTAATCATTAGAAAATCGCGATCTCAATTCATACTTATGTGCGATCTCATTTCCAAATGGCAACGGTTTAAAAAATAAAAAAAAAAATTTAAAAAAGGAAGAAGAAAAAAAAAAAAGATGACAATTGTACCGCATTTTGATCCGGGACATAATCTGCATGAAAACAAGCGCTTACTCTTCCTGCTCAACAAATGACAAGGGCGGAGCCTTATACCACGTGATACAGAAGCCAGCTGGCAGGGAAAAAACAACGGAGAGCATGTGAGAGATGATGAAGCTGCAAAGGCCAAGAAAGTGACAGGAGAAAATCCGTCCCGGTCAACCACCCCAAACAACAATAACAGGAAGCTTATACAGCGCTTCCCTATACCTGTCGAACTCCCGCAGGCACAAAGAAATTACGGAGGCTATTACTTATCACCTGGCTAAATATATGGCTCCCATCAACACTGAGCAAAACAAGGGATTTAGGAAAATGATCAACACCCTAGACAAACGCTACACAGTGCCGTCACGTAACTACTTTTCAAATGTTGCACTACCTGCTCTATACACACAGTGTCGAGCAACGGTGGAGGCGGAATTACAAGCAGTACAACATTTTGCAGCAACGACAAAATGTGAGACATTTGTTGTTTTTATGTTCAGTCTCAACTGTTACGAAGTTGATGTGCAGTTAATAAGTGCAATAAATATTTATATTGGAAAAGAAAATCGTGAGAGAATCGTGATCTAAGCAAAAATAAATAAATCGTGATTCTCATTTTATGCAAAATCGTGCAGCCCTACATGAGATGTAAAATGAATCGTAAAAGGACCTTACCTCGTCATCTGACTCTGAGGAGGAGCTGCTGGAGGAATCAGAACTCGATGAGGAGGAGGAAGATGAAGAATGCTTGACCAAAACACAGTGGAAGCAGGGTTCATTAGATATGAGGTTATTCGATTGTTTGAAAAAACAAACTGCATTTACAGGCTTGAATAAGAGACGAGTTTAGAAAACATGCACTCTGTGTGTATGTATCAGTAACACGGCACAGCTGTTAATCAAAATACTGGAGGTCTCTCCTCACCCTGCTGGATTTCTTCTTCTCCTTCTTCTTTTTCTAAACACAAATGCCAAGCAAACGAAGCACAGAGAAACAAAAAGTGAGTAAAGGTGAGAAATAAAAATAATACTTCATGAATCTGATACAGGATTCATATCATACCTCTTTTTTGTCTTTCTTCTCCTCCTTGTCCTTTTCACTTCCGCCTAACATTTTCTCTCTGTTTTTGGCGAGTTCTTTCCTCCATCTCTTAAAAAGCAAGAAACAATGTTACCAAAATAGTATGTGGTGTTTATCCGGTAACTGTTTCAATAAGGTGCAATATTCTCATCTAATATGAATTACAATGTGGCTACAGTGAGAAACAGTGATGACGCTTCAGATGCTGTACACAATAAAATAAATAAAAAAAAACTCTCAAGCTCTCACAGTACGGGCATGTTTCCATTGCAAACACAGATTTCCCCTAAGAAGGTAAAATATGTGCTCCGAGTCCATTGT